TCACTTGTTTATATTTGTAGCAACTCACTAGCACAGCCTACTTGTTTTTTGGGCCATAAAAGGATAAATTTATAGATCTTTCATGTATTTGCTGTTCAGCATTGTGGAAAGTTTTCCTTCCAAAGTTATTGACATGATTTTGGAATAAAAATAAAAATCAGAAAAGAAAAAAGAAGAAAAGTGATGTAAAACATATGCATGGAACAAGATCTGCTTGGGGTTTTAATATAAGATTATTAAAACTTTGCTAGTTATAGATTTAGTGCTTACCCAAATTAGGTTATCCGAATCATCAACTATAGACTATGTAAAGCATGCGATTACAACTAGAATAACATGGTACTCTCAAATGAACAACATAAACTAAATAAGACAATGTTATGGTTAAGAAACAAGAATCCACGGTTAATAAATAGATCTCTTCACCTTGGGTCCCTCACTCACTCTCTTGTTGTTGGCAATTTTAATGGAGGAAGATTGAGAGCAACCGAGCGATGCCACTAGGAGACAAATGGCGCCCAAAGTGTAGTCCGTTGGAGAGGTAGTCGGTGGCGGATAGTCCACGGGATGACTAGTGAGCATCCAACGTCCTGGAAGAATATGCTCCTCGATGGAAGGTACTAGCGTGAACAATATGCGATTTAAGTAATCCTCCACGGAAGAATTCACGTCAAGGTTTACGTTGAAGAAAGGGGATTCATGGATGTTGGTTCGTCCTTGATCATCAAATAAAAAATCATGGTCGACTTCCGGATCGGCCATGCATGATGGTGGTGGTGGTTGGGAGGATCTCTCTTGAGCTTAGTGAGGAGGAGGTGAGGAGATAATGGGAGGAGACTTGGGAGGGTGAAGGGGTCGGCTATGGGTGGAGTTATTTGGGTTGAAACAAGTGATTTGGGGACAAAGAGAAGAGGGAAAATCTGAAGTTTAATTTCAGATTTTCCTTAATGGGAGAGGCTAATTTGTAATTCAAAATAACCCCAATTAGTGGATTAATGGGGGGCGGCGGTTATGGGAGAGATTTAAGGGAAAATAAATGCCGCTTAGGTGGCAAATTGAGGAGAGAGAGGGGAAGAGAGGGGCCGGCCCTATGAGGGTTTAATTTTGTGTTTAAATTAAATGAGAGTGGGGCCCATGTGATTGAATATAGCAATTAATTCAAATTCTTAATTAAATTCAGATTTGATGAAGTGTAAAGAGTTTCCTAATTGAATTCTATCATTTAAGGAGGGATTTAAATTCAAATTTCAATTTGAATTTCAAATCTGAAATTTTCTAAATGATAGGGGAATGAATTAGGAAAGTAATGAAAGCTGAATTGAATTAGAGAAGTCAAAATCCATGGGCTGATTTGGAGTGGTTGGTGGTGGGGATTCCTGGATTGGCCGATGGGTCTAGTTGGGGGTTGGGACGGGTGGAGAAAGGTTGGCCGGCGGAAGGAAGGAGGGACGGGATCTATGGTTTAACGGCAAGGGAGGGGGCTGGTGGGGAAAAACCGGCGGCTAGGGGAGAAGGAAAGAAGAAGAAAAATAGAGGGAAACCAAGAGCTCCACCAAGGGGCTGTTGGGTATTGCTTTGAGCCTCTTCTAGGCTAATCCTCACTCGAGAACTCACAAAGAGAATTCTAGGACTCCCAAAGAGATCCAAAACCAAAGTTGAAATTTCATATCAATATTCATCATCTCATACAATGCATGAGACCTCCTATAAATATGTCAAAATGAAACAAAAACTAAAAGACATAAATGCCCTCGGGGCTACAATATCAAATGACCACCCATAAGGGTAAAACAGTAAAAACTGAAAAATAAAATAAGCTACTACAAATGACTCAAAATAAAACTCCTGATCGTACCCGTCGATCTCCGGCGTCTCCGATGGTACACGTGTCAAAATCGCTGACGATGTCCTCATCAAAAAGAGTGCATCAGTTTGAAGTCTGGGTTTAAAAAATGTGGGCAAAAGTAAGAGAGGGGTTACAAGCAAGGAGCTCATAACACTTTACAGAAAATATGAGTAGTAGCAACTCCTTGTTGTTGCTTAACCATACAGGTTATAGCCAGAGTAAGATGAATCTTCTTCAAGTCCCTTGAATTTTCAACATCTTTTCCAGGACATGTGATACAAGCACATCATCTCATATAGTGGTATCTAATCAGTCCTTGATTCTTGCGTCTTCTTGCTCTCCTAACCTTATATGTCATTCATTGCCATGGTTCGCAATGGACGTTGCTTGATCCCATTCCATTGGTTTGGCTTGATCTTCTGTTTGGTATAGAATGCTTATGGAAGAGGAACCAGAAACTCTGGCTTTATTGGAATTCTGAGCAACACTTTTAATTCTAAAGCTTTCTTTTATTCTGCTAATCCAATTCTGGGTACTAATAATTTGCTTCTACACATGACAAGGGAAGTTGAATCTGTAGACCTTATCTTATTGTTAACTAGCTAAAGAATAATGCCAGGGCTTCACATTGAAAGAATGTTAATCACTTTGTGTTTTCAAGTAAGAATCCTGAGAGTTCATCAGTGTAATTGTTTTATTTTGCCATTCAACTTTAAATCAATTCGAAAATTGCAGTGGATGGTTTCATGAATTTTTGAACTTGATATAATGATATGTATTTTCGCCAAGTTTCTTAAAATGCATGGCTAGCCATTTTCCCTTCCAACCGTCAGTTTGATAATCATGATCAGTAAATTTTCCTTCTTCCGGTACAAGTTGATTTCCAATTGTCTAACAATCTTAACCATGCGTATATCAAAATTTCATGGTCGGCCTCCTGTGTAAGATGTCCTTGATACTTTTAAATGATTGCTTTGTATATGGTCCTCCATGCTTGCTCACTGGATGCTTATGCTGTTTTTCTGTGTTCTTGCACCTGCCTGAACCGCCCCGCCCAACCAAAGCCCACATTCTTATATTTACGTTGAATTTACATTTACATTTCTATAGATAATTATGCATGCTTATATAAGGTTGATTTTCTGCTGGAAGTCTTTTTAGCTTTCCTCTCTCTTTTTTCTTTTTCTTTTTTCTGTGTAAGTTGGTGTTTTTTCGGTGTGAGGGTGAGAGAGTTTTAGGAGTTTGCTTTTTTGGTTTTTTGAAATGAAATTCATTGTATAAGTACTGTTAACATTGCATGCCCATTTTGATGTGATGCACGATAATATGAAGTATAAACACTGTAATTCTACATGTCCATATGTAGCTTGGTTTGTCAGAGAGCACCATAAATTCCTTTTGTAAAGAAGATAGGTAACAATGAAAGCTGAAAGCTTGAGGTATATGCTATTTTTATTAACTTATTTAGATGCTGTGTTTATTAGCTTGAACGGTGATTTGGGTCCTTTAGGATCAATTTTTGGTTCCATAGTTGCCATTGTTAGAACGTTTTTCCAGATATAGCTGCTTATCTTCTACCTAATAACTTGATACAGCTAGGAAAAGGCTGGGAAGTTAACCAGAAACATGTTTCAAACTAGTCGAGCTGAAAAAATGTACCTCCTTATACTCCAAGTCTTTGATGTTAAAATCTTCATATGATAATGTTGTGCTACTTCTGTACTGAGCTACTAATGCGCTGTGTTGTATGAAATAAAGTAATCTCTACTCATATAGAGATGATGAACCGCTCTATACGTGTGTTGCCTATCATTGTGAAGCCATGAAGAGGTGAACAAGAAGCATAAGATTTTTTATAGCATGTATTTCTAAAAAGAAAAGCTGAAGAAAGTATTACATCAAACATAGGGATTGCACATGGATTATGATTTTCTACAAGACTAGCATAATTTTATTAAATCATATAGTAAAACTTTTATGGTTCTCCTTATGAAGTTACTAAAACTAAGGCCTTGGTTTGTAATACTTTTTTGTCTTTTTCAGCTGCTTTCCTATTAAAAAAATCTGATATGTAATGATTTTGATTTGTAAGGAAACACTTCTTGGAAAGCTGTATTCTGCAGGTGACTTCATCTATGGCTTCACAAATCATGACCGTAGGCAACCCAATTTTAAAGGAGCTTGTTTATCTCTGTGACTTTATTTCAGATTAAACAGCACAGTATAATGTTCCAAAAGAGACCCAAAACATAGAATCCTTTCAGGTCAAAGTCGATTTCCACTATTGGAAAAATTGCAATTAGGCCCTTTTGTTTAAAATCCACGAGATTTTTAAGTTTCTCAAGAATCATTTATCATTTATTGAAGTTTTCCATTAGTCTAAGTACTTGTATAATTTTAACTTTTCATATATGGACCCTTTTTTAGGACAAAGTTCCCTTGGGATATAGCGTGACATTTTTGCCATCATTTAGGCCCTCTTAGGGGAATGGTTGGTTTTAAAGGCCTTTTAATTGCGTTCTGCCAGCTGCTGCTTCATGACGACTCTAACCAATTTCTTCTATCAATGAGTTAAGGTGATGCGGACATCCAACCGTCCATGCCTATCCGAGGAGGAGCTGAAGATCGACGGCCGAGATCCCTTTATTTTATCTTATTTTATTAATTGTAATTTTTATTTAATTATGCATTTTTCTTTTTTTACCCTTACTTAAGAGATTTGTTTTATGTAAGCCCAATGGGCAAAATTGTCTTTTAGTTTCTTTTAAGGCCTATATATAGAGGCCTTTGCTCTTGTATTAGAAGATGATGGATTATTTAAAAAAAAAAA